AAGGGCAGCCTCTGGCCACACGATCAGCTGGCTGACGCTGGTATCGGTTTGCTGATCGCTTTTTACAACCGCTCAAACTGCAGGCGTGGGGGAGGTCTACAGACGCTGCCCAACTTTCCTGAACAGCACTCTGGCAACGCTGCTCCCAACTCTCAGGAGAGAGAGAGCCCTGCTCTCCTGGAAGAGCAGCTGCCCAGATCCTGGGAGCTGCTGAAGCGAGGAAAAAAGATACTGAAGATCGCTGGTGAGTGCTATCTACAGAACCTCAGCTGGCTGAAGCTGTTATCGGTTTGCTGATCGCTTTTTACGACCGCTCAAACCGCAGGCGTGGGGGAGGTCTACAGACGCTGCCCAACTTGCCTGAACAGCGCTCTGGCAACGCTGCTCCCAACCTTGCAGGAGAGAGAGAGAGCCCTGCTCTCCTGGAAGAGCAGCTGCCTAGATCCTGGGAGCTGCTAAAGCAAGGAAAAAAGGTACTGAAGATTGCTGGTGAGTGCTATCTACAGAACCTCAGCTGGCTGGAGCTGCTATCCAACGCTGCTCCCAACGCTGCAGGAGAGAGAGCCCTGCTCTCCTGGAAGAGCAGCTGCCCAGATCCTGGGGGCTGCTTGAAACAAGGAAAAACGGCACTGAAGATCGCTGGTGAGTGCTATCTAACAGATGCTTTCAGAGACACAGCTACTGACTGAAAGGAGCTGAGTCAAAAGCTGGGGTCTCTTCCGGGGGCTGGCTTTTATATCTTAGTACAGACTCAGCTAAATGACGTCATAGGAAGGAGTCAACTCATCCTGGGCTCTCGATGCAGCATGGAGGAGAAAAGTCCCGATACGTCACATGATTCTGCATGATGACAACGTGAGTTTGACACCCCTGGATTAGATGTTTCTGAGATGGTTTTGATCACTAGATATGTAAAAAACACATTTACAAACCATTCAAAAGAGAATTTTTTAAAAACCCAAGAAGGAAACAAGAAGTTCAGAGCAATGCTCTCCTGCAGCCAAATGCACACACAGATAAGCAGGAATTAACACCAGACAAACAATCAAGTAGAAAACAATACCCTTATCAAGGAACTATCAAGGAGGCCACCACGCTCTCATCAACACTTGCAGCGCAAGCTACTGTACCTAAACAATCAGCAAACCCCATTGTCGTTAGCAATTTGACACGATCTGCAGCACATCTTTTGCATTTTCAAAAGCCTCCAAAAACTAAGGCCCCCAATCATAAAAAAATATATTTTGTTCTGATGTGATAATTCTGTACTTTTTATTTCTTCTTTGAAGAAAAAAAATTACATTCTTCTTTGAAGAAAAAAATGCAGCAAAGTCTACCCCTTCTTTAGACACAAAATTCCTCACCCTAGGTCTACAGCAGAAAATGCCAATCATCAAAAAGATTTGAAGCACTAGAGCATTATTTTTTATACAAAATGAGAATTTATGTAATCCATAAAGGAAACGGGAACATTAAATTTGAGGGGAAGGATAACCTGCTCTCCATCTCTGAAAGTTGAAGCCTTAGTTCTTAATAATATGGATTACTTATACAGACAAGGCACAGTGTTCTTCTATGCAACACATATCTTAGTTTATCAGTTTCTCTTTATTTGGGATTTGGCTTAAGCATTATTATTGTAAAGAAATAGTATTCATGACTTATTTCATACTTTTCATTCTTAAGCTAGCTACTTTAGTAGATAGCAGGGATAAAAACAAACAAGACTAAAACAATTTTTTGACAACCATCTCTAGTGCAATTGTGCTGCAACTCTCAGCCACGACAGGTTTACACATTCTTGCCTCCAAGAATTTGTTTTTCCAAGCCCCAGTATTTTGTTTTTGACATACCACTGTTTTGATTTGTGACAAATAGCTATGTTTATTTACTCCCACCATAGTGCATTCTGTTTGGATAAAATTAAGAAACTATTTGATAGTATTGCAATAAAGGATTATGGATCTTATCTCCCAGCCTGGGTTCCAACTATTGTATCCATGTATTCATAACTATGTTTTAACTTATACCTATTATCTTGCAAGCAATTAACAAACCAAATAAAATAAAAATAAAATAGTTAAGTATTCTAGAATAATAATTCTGTTTTCCAGTTCAGGGCTATTTGAAAGTAAAGTGAGAGAATGCATATGAAGCAATCTGAACCCTTCTTGGAGCATTAAACGTGTTCACAGGCTTTACATTGCATTGTAATGTAAACATCTTCCTTTACATTGCATTGTATATCACGCCTGCTGTAAGCATGTGTATCTTATTTATATAAGGGTTTGTTGCAAAATAAAATCATTACAACATCAAGGCATCATGCAGGGTAACCAAACAGAGTTCAATACTGGCCATATGCCTTCAGTCAAGTTTAGTGCTGGAGAAAGTCCCAGAAGGTTTAAAACTCATTCTTCAAAGAGTATTATTTTCCATGTATCTGATGTAGAAAGAGGTCAGATTGTAATGTTCTCTATTCCTCCCAAGCCAGATGGTCATTATTTCCATAATGAGGACATCCCAGATTTAGAGCAAGTCATCCATCTACTATCCATTCTCCTCCACTACATCATCTGCCCTGGACCATTTCTCTGATGACCATTCCTGCCCTCGATATGTTTGAGCCAGAACAGAACAATCTAAGCATCTTTATTCTGGTTGACATTAATATATTTTTTAGAATGCCATCAATTAAGATGTCTGCATGAAGTTTACTGCAGGTGGTAGGGATCTGATCCAAATATGTATTATTGTAGCTTTGGACAACACTAAACGCTAACATCTTTGTGTCTGAATTATGTGCCTGTTTCATTTTCTCTCAGCACTGAGGCTCAGGGGATCACTCGTGCTCTTATGACCTCACAGATGGACTCTACATGGGGCTGCCCTTGAAGGCCACTTGGAAACGGCAGCTAGTCTAGAATTCAGCAGTATGGGCTGTACTGGAAATGTCATGGTATGATCGTATGACATCACTGCTCCATGAACTGCATTGGTTACCAGTCAGTTTCCAGACACAATTCAAGGTGATGACAAAGCTCTTTGCATAAGGCCAACTTAGTTCCGGGACTGGGATCTTTGGCATAGGGATTGCCTATCTGAGATGGTTCCTGCCTATTTTATAACTTCAGACAATGTACCAGGTTTCCTTAATGTCATCTATTAGAATCTTGGAAGCATACGTTTTCTGTTGAAGCCCCTGCTCCCTGAAAAACTATCCCCCTATATACAGAGGTGGGCTTCAAATTGTTTAGCAAGGGGCTCTCTGCTCACATGACCACTCAATGCCACTTCCACCCAGTCACATGACCCTCCCTAGCCACGCCTACCCAGGTTTTGTTGCTCCTGGTGTGGGAAATGGGTCTCTCTCTCCCCACCCCCTTCACTCTTTCTCTCCTCTACTAATATGCCATGCAGAGTCGCCATCTGATGAGAAATCACTCCAAATCAAAGCTTTGCTACGATTGGTGAATGGTTCTGACAATAGAGAGACCCACAGTAAAATTTGTTCTATGTTGCTCAGGATTGCTCTAAAGGTAGAATAGAGTTGAATAGAGGCATAGCTGTAGTATTTTCTACTACCTTGATTCATTTTATAAAGTTAGATAGACTGAAATATATAAAATATCTAACTAGGCCTTTGCGTAAAGTTGCTCCGAGCAGTTAAATGAATTCTTTGTGAAGAATTTCTCCCTGAAATGCTGCGGTGAGCCTGCTTTCTGGATGGTCTGATGCAGCTGCTTTCCCAGGTGGTCAGTGTGTAGGTCTTGGTTTATGTCTGAGTCTGCACAAACACTTCTACTGCGACCACTGGCAGAGTGAAGGAGTTGTGCGACGAACTGAGAAAGCCTTTGACACAACTGCCTCAACATTTTGAGAACGGATTGTACCCTTGTGCCAACACACAGCAAAGCACCCTTTCACAGGAGATCTGCCCTACCTAGCAATTCAGGACAGAAACTGCTTAATTTGTGATCCACAGAAATATGACAGAGAAGAGCCAAGAATATCTGTGTTTGACTTTGTCCTTCCACTTATTTTTGAACAGACACACAGATTATTTTTAAAGAGAGACAGGTTTGTAAACAAACTAAAATATTTTGCTTTATTTTCCTCATCCGCACTGGAGCTGTATTCTTATTTTCCATAACAACAGAGGGATCTTTTGAAGGGCTTAATCCAAGAGGTGTGATTTTCATAATTCTGCTCTACGCAGACAAGGACTGCTAAGTTGGGGAACTCCACAGCCAAAACTGTCTACAGAGAGCATTCTCTGCCATGTCTTACATAACAAAACCTCACCAAACATTTCCTGAAGAGATTTCAGTGTAAAAAAGCTCACACCAAAAAATCCAATCAATAGGTAGACAAACTTCAATTTTTTCAATACAGAGAAGTAATTCAAGCACTTTTTTTTCCAGATCAAGCCATTCTTACTCTTTGAATGGCATGCAGTGACACACTCTTGAAAGGTAGGACGGGGGCAAAAATAAATCAGCCTTAATGTAGATTGAGTAACTTTTCCCTGTTGTTGTATTAAAATGAAATGTTAGGATCCTGAGAATCGTAATCAGGCGCTCTTGGGCATCAGACTGTGCCTTTGGTTGTATACTAATATAAGTTTCTTAATGTTACTTCCTGTTATTCAGTAATTGCTGGATATAAGGAGAAATTTCCTGACAGTTAGAACAATTAATCAGTGGGTGGACTTGTCTCCAGAAGTTGTGGTTGCTCCAACAGTGGAAGTTTTTAAGAAGAGATTGGACAACAGTTTGTCTGAAATGGTCTTGGGCTACCTGACTTAGCAGACTAGAAGACCTCCAAGGTTCCTTCCAACTCTGTTATTCTGTTATTTCAAATCATACTTATAATTATGTGCCTTTAGCCAGTGCAACAAACGATTAACAAAATATTTCACAGTAATTCTATAAAAAGCCATTTTTCAAAATAAGTGCTCATTACATAAGGTACACTAAAGTCCAAATAATTTCTCTTACCTGGAAATGCTAAAGATCCAATCATCAAAGCAAATGTTGGAAGGATACAATAGGAAGTCATTTTTGCCACACCCCAAGTTCTGCAATTATCTCCTTCCAGTCGAGCTTTGTATCAGCGCTGATCTTAGAAAAGGATTAATGGGGATTCTTTGAAAGTTTTCCAGCCTTTTAATGACCTGCAAAAATGTTCAAAAGCCAATTTTAGAACATTGCTTAAGCAGACATTATTTTCCGTTACCTTTCCACAAAAACAAAGTTAGGCAACATATTTTTTTTCAAAAAATCTTATTTTATAAACCATCAGAGAGAGCAAGAGATTGTCTTCTTGTCAAAAACTTAGTTTTCTCTAGCTTCAAGGTTTAAGTCAGGGGTGTCCAAACTTGACAATTTTAAGACTTGGGGACTTCAACTCCCAGAATTCCTCAGCCAGCTTTTGATTTTAAAATTAACAAGGTTGGACAACCCTGCTGTAAGTCAAAACCTACTACACTTCTGTGTTCCTGATTCAATGTAATACCACTAATGAGAAGGTAAGGAAACTGATCAGGAACTGGTAAGGAGGATGATTATAGAATTGCTTTCCTTTTAATAACATGTTACTATGCTGCATTTAATATTTATACTTAGATGTCTAAATTATAAGTGACCTTTATTGGTTCAAAAATTCAACTGGAGCACTATAATTATTATTTTATTCTTTTGAGTAGCTTACATAAATTAAAGTAAATTACAATATTTTAAAGCGTCTGTGTTATAAATAGGGCAGCTTCCCTCACTTTGTGGCCTGCTGAGATGGACTTGACTTCCATTCCCAGAAGCAGTACTCAGTGATCTTATTTTTGTGTGTGAGATTTTATCTGTACTGGTTTTAAAAAATGGTGAACTAAAACATTGCCTATTAGTTATCAGAGCACTTCCAAAATCCTACACGACAGGGGTCCCTAGTCTCTAGCCCATGGACCAGTACTGGCCTGTAGCCTGTTAAAAACCAGGTCACACAGGGCGAGGTGAAAGGTAAGTGAGTGAACGAAGCTTCATGTCTATGTGCAGCCACTGCCCAGTGGCTCATCATCACCGCCTCAACTACACCTCAGATCATCAGACGGGAGATTCTCATAGGAGCGTGAATCCGGCTGTAAACTGCGCATGCAAAGAATCTAGTTTGCACAATCCTCCCCCCCACCCTCAGCCTATGGAAAAATTGTGTTCCACAAAACCAATCCCTGGTTCTAAAAAGGTGGGGGACCACTGCTGTAAGGTTCAGCAGATATCTTAATCCACCAATTTTCTTGATGCTCCTTTCATATTTTATATATATTTTATATTTTCATTTTGTAGGACTTTGTCAGGTGAGAAGCACCAGAAGCACACATTAAGTTTCAGTTAAGTTGATTTATTACTCATGCTTATAAACAAGAATCTAACTAATAGTCAGCATTAAATTAATGCTAGGTTAGAGTTAATGGAATTCAAGATGAATTGGACTTCGATTACTTGCGGCAACATAACGACTCCAGGCTGATTCCTCTCTTAACTCTGCCTCCATGTAGCCATCCCTTCCCACTTGTGACTACATGACTGTAACTTTGTTGCTTGTGTCCTTATGATTTATATCAACTGTTTCCTAGTATGATTTGATTGCTTATTGTACCCTATGACTACTATTAAGTGTTGTACCTTATGATTCTTGACTCTTGATGAATGTATCTTTCCTTTTATGTACACTGAGAGCATTTGCACCAAGACAAATTCCTTATGTGTCCAATCACACTTGGCCAATAAAGAATTCTATTCTATGCTCTACCTGCTCTTCACCTACAGGCATGCCATAAAGATCCTTATCTCCAATCCAAAAGATTCCAACAGAATAGGATAGCGGCCTTATAAATCAAACCAAATCAATCAAGTAATAAATGCAGGCATCAGAAAGAGCAATTTTGTTAGGATAGGAGTAAATATGTCTCTTCCAAAATCTGGCGACCTGATGCAAAAAAACAAATACATTATGTGATTTTCTTCTTTTAATTGAGCCAAAGACTTCCCCTTGTTTTGACTTGCCCCATCAAATGACAACAGAACATCCCTGTCGTAGTCTCAGAGGTCTTTAAAAAAAGACAACGTTTAAAATCTTCATTCTGGGTTGTGTTTGGATGTTTTTGTTGCCAGTTACTTTAGTTTCTTTCTCGATAACATCTATTGGCATTCTCTTGTACTGTACAGGTAGTCCTCAACTTACAATAGTTCATTTAGTGACCATTCGCAGTTACAATGGCACTGAAAAAAGTGGCTTAAGACCACTTTTCACACTTATGACAGATACTAGACAAGTGACTGACATTTATGACGGCTGCAGTGTCCCGGGACCATGTGATCACCTTTTGCAACCTTCTAAGAAGCAAAGTCTATGGGAAAACCAGATTCACTTAACAACCTTGTTACTCAGTTAACAACCACAGAGATTCACTTAACCACTGTAGCAAGAAAAGTTGTAACATGGGGCAAAACTCACTTAACAACATGAATTTTGGGCTCAATTGTGGTCATAAGTTGAGGACTACCTTTAGTGTGTTATTTTATTATAACAAACTTCAATAAAGTTTTTATTTTAATGCCTTCAATAAATCGATGAATGCTAGGCGCTAAATGGCCGAAACATACCTACACTGAGGCAAAAGGAAGACTCAGAGAAATCCAGAGATTTCAAACAGAATGCTAAAAGCAAGTATGGTGACATGCATGCTTGACATTTCAACACATTCCCCAACACACTTACACACACACAGAGAGACACACAAACATATGGAATGCTTTCAAGGCAAGAAAAGACAAGCTTTTTCCCTGATACGTTCACCATGGTTCTCGGTTCTTCTTCTCCTCCCTTCTACACGCACACACACACACACACACACACACACACACAAATTAAAGCCATCATTCTGTCCATATGTAGTAGAAAAACAATTATGCTGTTGACTTTAGAACAAAATAATACGTTCTTCACAATGCATACCAAGCCTAACCACAGATTTACTGGAAGTTCACCGATGGGTTTCCAAAAGTAAAAACATGTGAGGTATAGGAGGCTGAATATGCTTCTTTTTTTCCTTCAGAAAAGTAAACTCCTTTTCCAAACAGGAAGGCCGCATTTATTCTCCTAACTGAATCAGAATCAAATCTAGAAAATTGATTTTTCGCTGCCCTAAAATCCTATTTGGATGAAGGTTGGTAAGTAAATGTTTTAAGAACACACACACAGGAAAATAAATACAGTAGTCCTCTATTTACAATCATGTGTTTAGGGACCATTCAAAGTTACAATGGCACTAAAAAAAAAAAAGTGACTTGTGACCGTTTTTCACACAACGGTTGCAGCATCTCCATGGTCATGTGATTTACACCTTCAGGTGCTTGACAACTGTCTCATGCTTATGATGTTGGCAGTGTCCCGCAGTCATGTGATCCCCTTTTGCGAACTTCTGACAAGCAAAGTCAACAGGGAAACCAGGTTTCACTTAACCACCGTGATACTTATTTATTTATTTAATTTATATTGCCGCCTATTCCGCCCATGGCAACTCGAGGCGGCTTACGCAACGTAAAACCATATTTAAAACAAAATAAAAATAAAAACGATCAAAACTAACAAAAAGAATCAAATAAATTAGTAAAGTGCAATAGAACAAAATTTGGGAAAACAAAAAACAAAACAAAAAAAACCAATAAATCGAAAACTAACTCCCACCCACCCCTTCTCGACAACAGCAGATCACACTAGCCACCTGATGGGCTCCATCCCGCTCTGAGTTCCCCAGGCCCACTGGCAAAATCAGTGCCTTTTGGAAGAGTGTTAGTCTCTGGAGGAATGATGTTCCAGAGAGACAGAGCCACCATGGAGAAGGCCCTTCTTCTGGGTCCCACCAGGTGTATCTCCCTCAGAGGTGGGACCCGCAACATCCCCTGCCTCCTCACTCTAATGGATTGGGTGGATGTGACTGGCAAAAGATGTTTCCTTAGATAACCCGGACCCAAGCCATGAAGGGCTTCAAAGGTGACAACCAGCACCTTGAATTGCACCTGGAAGCAAATCAGCAACCAATGCAGCTCCTGCAGGAAAGGTGACACATGTGCACACTGGGGTCTGCACAAAACCATGCAGGCCGCTGCATTTTGCACCATTTTGCACTTATTTAACCACTGCAGTGATTGACTTAACAAATGTGGCAAGAAAAGTTGTAAAATGGGGCAAAACTCACTCAACTAATTTGTCATTTAGCAACATAAATTTTAGGCTCAATTGTGGTTGTTAAGTCAACGACTACCTGTATTGTTTTGATGCAGCGTGTGGGGCTGGAAGGTGGAATGATGAGAACGATGCTAAGCCACCAGTCAAAAGAGGGCATTTCAGGGAAACTTGATTTTGACGATTAGAGGAAATAAGAAGAAAAGGGAAAGAGGACATTGGAAATTATTCTGGCTGGCTAAGATTGAAAAAAGAACATTGGGAACAACATTGAGTAAGGCAGTGGATTGACTATTGTGGTTCTAGGAAATGATGGTGGTAGAGGGGAAATTGTGATTTGTATATCACAAAAGAAGCAAGGTGTGAATAAATATTTAGTAATGGCAGGCATCAGGATAGTTAGGTTAGTGCTGGAGCCTGACAGATGGAAGATTCTGACATAGTGCCAGAGAAATACTCAGGATATGCCAACACATGAGTTCCCCGCTGTGATTTTTGGAGGCTATCTCTGGACTCCTTCACCCCAAGTGAGAACCTGGGGAGAGGGAGAGGTCTGCACTTCCTGGGATGGTAGTTCTTGGGGCAGTAATTGAGGAAATTGGATGGTTGGAGGGACTTCCCTTCCCAAGAACGAGAACCTCCAAGGTGAGCTTCTCCAGATAGCAAGGATCTGATGAGAGCAAGTCAGAAGAAGTTACAGTGTAAGAAAACTGGGGTTAAGAATGTGGTTTATCCAGTAGAAGTAGCTAAGCAGTAAACCGCAAAATGGGAAAGACGATACAACAGTTAGGTACGCTTTTGGGAGCTTGAGTCTAGGAACAGCAGGTGGAGAGCAGAGTATATCAGAGTTTGCAAAGGGCATAGGAAACGATGGTGGGTACATGGGGAAGCTTTTATGGGGAAGAGAAACTGGAGATTTGGGATCGAGCCCCTGTT